TGTACAAGTATTAAAAATCTACAATATAAACATTACATCATTTATTTATATATACGCATCTAAGAAATATTATAAGCTAATTTGAAAAGATAAGTTTTGAGATTTGACTTAAAAGTAGAAATACATGTGATCATGCGGAGGCTTACGGGAAGAGCATTCCATAAAGTGGGCGCAGCCACGCTGAAGGAACTGTCACCAAATGATTTTTTCATTTTCCGCGATGGATGTTTTAATAAAACACCTTCATTAGAACGCAGCGAATAGCGCGTAATAGTCCTAATATGAATTAAATCAATGATGTAGCTCGGTGCCATGCCATTGATGGCTTTGAAAGTAAGCAATAAAATTTTAAATAGAGGAATTGTGGGTTGTGTGTACTTTAAAAGGCAGAAACCACCAATAACGTAGCTCCATTTTCTGCCTTTAAAAGCACACACAACCCACAATTCCTCTATTCGCTCCGACGAAGGGCTAACGCTCGAAATGCGAATGAAAAAGTAACTCAACATTCTGTTTACACGCTGTCAGAACGAGAGATATCACGCGTCACTCCAACTAAGCGTTAAATAACATCAATAACAAATGCTGGAAAGGTGTCTTCGTGATGCTGCTGATCACGTGCCTTCGATTACACAATGGCACCGGCTCACGGCTTGCAGCACCTGATCCGCTTCAGAAAATTGAGCCTTTTCTATCGAAAGAGGCATTGATCATAGCAGAGTTAGGAAAAAAACAACATGCACTCGCAATCCAATGAAATGAGTGCGATTCAAGAAAGAGTTGGCAGATCAATCCTTGCAACCTTTATTGCAGCTCTTGGCCCGGTCAGCTTTGGGTTTTGTCTGGGATATTCATCGTCCGCGTTGCTGGATTTGCAGAGCACAGATGCTCTCTCTGCAGTTCGTTTATCTGACGATCAGGCATCTTGGTTTTCTGTAAGTTGAGCATTATTTGTATATTTTTTTATATGCCACTATGAGTACTCCAGAATTGTGTCGTGTGCGTGCGGGTGTGTTGTTTTAATATGTCGCGTAATGGCTGAATTTGTAGCGCTGGATCTGGACTAGACTTAACTTTTAAACAGTATCAGTAAAAGAATTTTAAAAAAATTCAAGTCTAGGCGAAAAGGTAAATAGAAAGGAAAAATTGTTAAGCCCTCGGTAAAACCAATCACGCCTCTGGCTTAGCCGAGCAAGTCTTTTCTTTTTTTTTTTTTCCTTGTATTACGGTGACTTTGCCAAAGGAGGCCCTTTTGCCTGTTTGATATCCCAAAATACAATACATTTCGCTTATTTTGTTTCTCTGTGGCCGGCGCCGGGCCTGTCTGTTCGATAACTGAAGAACACATGACCCTCATGAGACTCACATGAGTTCACGATGGGATCCATTTGCAAATGATGTGGATCATTACTTTTAGAACAAAACAGTTGTTAAAAAATCCACAAGGCATTGTTTCATCTGATGTGCAGCGACAAGACAATGAAGTGAAACCCTTGATACCATTTGTAGTAGCAACTGTAGAAGACAAAATAACTTTTACATAAATCTCATCCTAACGTAAATTGTACACTTGACTCCTTCGATGTCGTCCGCAATTGATTCTTCAGTAGATTAGTAGCCACGGAGTCACGCCATGACCGATGGACTAGATTTTCTAAGTCTGCATAAAGCGTTTATTCTTAGTCTCCTTCATATCTCGTTCTTAAGTTTTTATAAGCCATTTGTATGAGTAAAGGCATATTTTTTGGACGGAGGAAGGAAAATTGTGCGCATCGTGGAACGACTCTTTATGGCGTGACCTGCCTCCTTAAGAAAGATAGCGTTAGCTTCATGAATTACATGCAATGTCAATGCTAGGAGGGGGCTAGTGGAAATAGACAACAGCATAAATTTCTTGTTTCTTGTATTCATCGCATAGAGCAACTTGTTACGCGACCTTAAAGAGATGGACAAAATCATAATTCTGGTCAAGACCGCCCGACAAATATATTTCGAAGAACATCAAAATAACCACACTCTAAGTGAAAATGATTCCCTCTAGTGGGGACTTGCAATAAATATTCACCTTTTGTGCTTGAAAATAAAGGTATACCTTAAGGGCGACTTTGTTAGAAATAAGATTGAAAATCGTAAATTCTTTGATGAAGCTTTTGCAATGCAGCGCAGCAGCTTCGATCAATCTAAGCAGGCCGACTTCTGTCTATTGTTTATAGGCCAGATGTCAAGGTAACTAGGCACATCCAATTAGTGAGGGAATGTCCCTGAGCTGTAGGCTTTTTCACAACTTCGTTAGTCAGCAATTGGATCTCTATACTTTGAACCAGCTTTGCATATGAGGCTAAGCGTTGGACTTTTGTAGTAGGAGAGGGGTATTACCACCATTTGGATCATCCAATTAGAGCAAGTGTAATTCCCTAGAGAGTGTCACATGATCTTATCCAACGAATCACATTACATGATTATTATTTCTCCAACAAAGCTCATATTTTTCACGAACAGATATACACGCTGTTTATTACCCTTCTACCATGATTGTCGTACTTGAGTTTCATGCCTTTGAGATACATTCTTGTAAATTTGTCTTTAGTCCTTAGTTACTATTGGAGCTATATTCGGAAGTGTCATTGGTGGATGGGCGATTGACAAACTTGGTCGGAAAGGTACCATTATGTTTTGCGCGGTTCCACTTGTTCTGGGTTGGCTTCTCATTAGCTACGCTAAGAATGTTGCCATGCTTTACGCTGGTCGGATCATTACAGGCCTGGGCTGTGGTGCAGTCTCACTGACTGTCCCGGTATGTCTGTGGATTAGAGTGTGTATAAGTTAGCGTTGATGTAACTGTGTTAACATATTTCAATTTATCGTAACAAAGTTTTCATTAGTCACGGAAATTAATTAGTCAATTTCACATTGCCCTGTTAATGCAATATTTTGTTTTTTAGGTCTACATTGCTGAAATGTCAGCTGCAAGGATACGTGGTACACTTGGGTCTGTCAACAATTTGGCCATAACTATTGGCCTTATTCTAGCGTATGTGGCGGGTGTCTTTTGTCACTGGAGATGGCTGGCTTTGATTGGTGCAATTCCTCCTATTCTGCAAATTATTCTTATTTTTCCTGTGCCGGAGACTCCTCGTTGGTTGCTGGGAAAGAACCGTGAAAGTGATGCGCTAGAATCCTTGTCATGGTTAAGAGGTCCTGATGCAGACATCGAACAAGAATGTATCACTATTAAAGAGACCATTGGTGAGACATTTTTATTTCAAAAAGAGAGGGGATTGGAAGTTACTGTATTAAGCGACGCTTTTAACCCAGGAGTAGCAGTTGGGTAATTAATGAAATAAATAACTTTACTATCAATGTGTCCCTTCACCATTGCTAGTGAATAGGGCTGCTGAAGCCGGATCGAAAGTTTAAAAAAGGTTTACTGCGAGAGCTGCTACGCAACCTTAATTCTATCTTATACATATGAAGAGACCGAAGATGAACTTTCTTATTTTATTTTTGTGACAGATCGTCATGATGAGCTTCATCTAAGGGAATTGTTGTCGCCAGAGATCGCCAAGCCCCTTGCAATCAGCGTCGGGTTGATGGCGCTCCAGATGCTCTCTGGAGTGGACGTAGTGGAGTTTAACGCTGCAGGCATTTTTGCAACTGCAGGCTTTTCAAATGGAAAGCTTGCAGCTATTACTGTCGGCTTGGTACAGTTCGTGGCCGCGGGCTTAGGATGTGTTCTCATGGACAAAGCAGGACGCAGAATTCTCCTATGGTCTGCTGCACTTGGAATGTGTGTGTCGCTTGTGACCCTTGGTGTGTACTTCCAGATCTACATTCCTCCAAAAGATGGAACATCAACATCCGACGCTGTCTCCTTGCTCAATTCTATCAGCCACTCTGTCCCAGCGAAAGACATTTCGTGGCTGTCAATCTTGTGTATTGTTATATTTAACCTGATGTTCTCCCTTGCATGGGGATCTGTCCCATGGCTTGTGATGGCGGAAATAAATCCCGTGCGTGTTCGTGGCTTTGCTTGTAGCTTGGCAACTTTGACAAACTGGTCAATGGCGTTTGTTGTCACGTATACATATAACTCCTTGGTTAATACTCTTACCATGCAAGGAACCTATTGGGTTTATGCAGGCATTTCTTTCCTAGGTTTTCTTTTCGTCTATTTCCTTTTACCCGAGACAAAAGGGAAAACATTAGAGGAAATAGAGGCCATCTTTAGTAAAGATAAACGCGACTATGAAAGGATTGACTGAACATTTGATAAAAAGGAACTTATATTGATAAAATGCGGTCTATGTTACTAATCATTTTTCGTTTCCAATAAGAAACTGAGTTATGCCATATCTGATTTGTAAACTATGAAAACAGAGATAAGTTTGTTTCTAAAACTACAACAAATTCTTTGACTCTGTAAGAGATCTATCAAATATACCGGCAGAAAATTATAAGTTTGTAATGCGAAAATACAAAATTCTTTTCAACTTAAGAAGATCAGACAAGTTGTAGGTTGAAAATACAGAATTTCCTGAGGATGCACCCTATACTGAACTTGCAGACAGGAGATTTGCGATCGTTAAGAGAACAGAAGTTGTATTTGCTCATGGTTGGCATGTAGCGGGAAATCACAAAATTTTCCAAATAAAAGCAGAAAAGCAGATCTTGTGTTCATCCGAGGTGCCTTGCTAAGTATAATTTTAAACCAGAAACTAAAAATATTACACCAGATCTTTCCCTTCGTCAAATGCTAAGTCGGAGATCAAACTAAGGGAACATCTCATTATCTAAACACTAATGAGATATCGGGTGAGCTTTCGCGCGAAAACGTGATATCTCCACGTTAAAAAGAACCCCATTACCATGGTTACACAATAAATCGCGCCTTTTGCGGCAATGGTGAAACGGTTTGGTTCTTTATTGGTGTTTATAGTAAATATAATACTACATGGCGCTTGGAGATACGAAACTTCTCTTCTCGTGTTGAAGAAAACATTTCAACACTCTGAGAGAAATTTCATATCTCCGCGTGGCCAAGTAATATCCTCTATTTAGTATAATTTCAGAGCTGAGCAAAGAGTTTCCAGCAATCTGATTGGTCGAGCGGTTCCTTATATGACGCTATATAAACCGCTCCACGCGGTTTATATCAAATGTTAAAATTAAATGTCAATAAATGTTACTAAAATGTTATAATTTTAGAAATTTCTCTGCTGTTAAGCTCTGAAATTATACTAAAACAATTATCGGTGAATGTTGTCCAATAATCCCCGAGACTTCGTCTCGGGGATTATTCGACGATATTCACCTCGTCTTCGGCGAATAATTTTTAAATGATTTGCTTTTATCAACTGAGTTGATCATGTAAATTGGTCACCGTGATTAGTTTTAATAAGTGATGTTTCCAGCGTTAGCCCTTCGTCTTTAATAAACAATAATAATAAATGATAAATAATTTAGTAATGGAAATTCCACTGGGCAGTCCTTCTTTGTCCACTGTTTCCAGATCGAATTGGAATTTGGAATATTGGCGTTTGCGGAGGAAGGAAAACCGGAGGACCCGGAGAAAAACCCTCGGAGCAAGGACGAGAACCAACAACAAACTCAACCCACATGTGACGCCAGTTCCGGGAATCGAACCCGGGCCACAGTGGTGGGAGACGAGTGCTCTTACCACTGCGCCATCCCTGCTCCCTGCTCTGACGAAGGACTACTGCTCGAAACGTCAGCTTCAATTTCTGAGGTGGCCAATCAGTATATGATCAACTCACTTGTTAAAACTCTTGTAATACTCTCTCGAGACATCGACACAGCACGACATTGTTTCCAGAAATTTATCCCCTATCGTCAACATGATATCAGCCAGCAGCGACGTTGGAACAGATCAAAGGGATCAAAACAAAAATAACCATGCATGAAACTACCCAAGATCTATTTTAAAATGCTCTGAAAGGCATCAGTGAAGCGGAGAAAATCGGTCACGAAAATCGATTACCACACTGATGAACACTACTTTAGGAATCATAATTGTTCACTTCTCATGTAATGCTCTCTCTAGATCCTCCGCTATGTAAGCAAAAGGTCCGAGGTCAGTAAGTTCAGTTTTGTAGCTTACTCTCGGGATATACAAGCATCATTTGAAGACCTAGATAGAGCCCTTGAATTCTTGAATTCATTGGAGTGATTAGCACCAATTCTCTCTTAACATCACCACCCCCCTCCCCCCTGAATCAAACTTATAGGTCGTGAGAATAAAGGAAGAAACGCAACGATCATCAATAAAGTAAGCGCTTGGTTGTTGAAGAAATTCTGCTCCCTTCCCCAGGAAATGAATGGTGAACAGCAGGGACAATATAAACTGCGATGTCGCTAGGGGTGTAAAGTAAATGGACCGTATTACTCTTGTCATAGTTTCAAAAAAGCCAAACTCGCTTTTGTAACGTGATGATCAATTGTTTAACTCTCGTCTAATAAAACAGTTTTACACCGTACAGCAGTATGCATACTCTCCTTGCTGTATTCCAAAATCCCTGATGGAAATGGCAAGGAAAATATGTTTTACAACTAGCTCGTCATGTGATTGGAAAACTTCTAACATTCTTAAAAAAAGAACCTTCTGAAGTGAACTTTTCAGCGTAAAGCGTGTAAGATTTAGAAAGAAATAAACAAGGAGAGGGTTGTAAGGTATTTTGTTGCATACTGCTTTAATCACGCGAAATAACTAAGACAACAAACAGTAACGTTCTCCTCAATTGTCGTTTTTCACCGTCTCGTTTTCCTTGGGGCATCCTTTTCTCTTTTTTATTCCGATAATAATCACCTGGGCTAGTCCCAGTTACTCTCGTCCTGCTTGCTACACACTCCCCCCCACCCCCACGAAAAAAAATGTCATCCCGACATTACAGAATATAAAACACGACCAGTCATCCTGGTGATAACTTTGGGGGGGGAGGGTGGTCCCGACTTCAAACTGCATACAGTTCAATCATCCGTAGTGCTTGTTGAGTTTCTGTTTGACAATAATAGGGAAACTAGTTAGAATTTAACACAGTTCTGTTCGCCTATGATTAATACGTGGAGCGATCAGATGCGACAATAACAGTGTTCAGCGCTGGTGTATCCATACGGGCTGTGGTCTGTGGTATATACTGCAACTGCGGGATACACGGGATTTGTGGCGTGTGGTAAGGTATGAGGCAATGGCCGATGGTCTGGTAAGGAGATGTAACTGGATGGCCTTGGATCGAAGTTACTACTGGCTGTAGACGCGTATACTCTGCATTGGTGTGTCACAAAGTACTCTATATCACGGTACATATGTGGCCAGTAGAAGCGGAACCTTGCCAGTTCGGCAATCCTCTCCACACCTAGGTGTCCCATTTCAGTGTGCAGTTCATTGAGGGCCAATGGGATAAAGGCGTGTGGTAGAACTAGCTGGATTCTAGAGGCTGCTATTCGTCTCAGGATACCCTGTTCATCGACTTCCAGTTTCTTCCATTCTCTCATAAGGTTGGCAGCGCCTTGAGATGCATTCTGCAGTTGGCCTCTACCCGGTTTAATACCATGGGTCTTTAGCTTGTAGTAGGTGGTGTAACGTATTGCGTTCTCCGATTGTTGTGCTTCTTTAATCTCCTGTGGGCTAAAGGGTTTCAGATGCAGGTCCTTTAATGTGGGTTCAGGGGTGTTTATGTCAGCGGAAATAGCAGTTACCCATGGGGTGGTACCCTTTGCCTGTTCCCTAACTGCTACCATAGTTGCTTCAAGGACATCTTTGGGGACTTCTTCGGTGCACTCTTGCACGTATTCATCCATATCTAATGGCATTCTTGACAAAATGTCTGCATCTACATTGGATTTGCCCGGTCGGTACTTGATTGTAAAGTACAGTTGTAGTCTGCTAACGCAGTCACCCACCGATATCCCGTTGCATTCAGCTGTGCGGATGGTGTCACATATGTTAGTGGGTTATTGTCAGTGAAGACAACAAAAGACGGAACGTAGAACAGGTAATCTCTGAATTTGTCAGTGATCGCCCACTTTAGGGCCAAAAATTTTAATTTCCCGGAGTGTAAGTGGTAGTTACGTTCCCCAGGTGTCAATCTTCTTGAGCCGTATCCACCACCTCTCAGTGTGCTTCCTTGTTCCTGGTAGAGCACCAACCCAAGTCCTTGACCTGAAGCATCTGTGTGTAGTACTAACGGGAATTGAAAATTAGGATAAGCGATTACCCCCGGTTGCATTAGCCGGTCAATTAGCGAGTTTAATCGCTCTTGGTGTTTTTCTTTCCAAGCAATTTTGTAATTTGACGGCAGCGGTCCTTTGGGAGGTTAAGACTTAC